TATAATTTTAATGTTTTAGTTTTAATTGTTTAATTTTTATTATTTTTATTTTTATTATTTGATTAAAACTTTTTATTAAAATTCTTAACATGATAGCCGCATTGGTTTTAAAATTCAGATATTCTTCGTTTTCGCCATCGATACTACCATTACTGTGATACATAGTTTATATATATAGTAGATAAACATGGTTTGTGATCTGCGATACCAGTACATTCATTGATTTAATTATTAATACATCGTTTCCTTTTTGTCGTTTCTCGTATTTCGGTTACGTGAATATGGATTTATGACTAACTATCGATAATTATATACGGATGGATGATTTATGTCATAATAGACGTCTGTATTTCTCTCTATTCTTGTACGCAAATTTTCTTCTGGGCAGAAAAAAGGTTTTCACACGTATCTCGTCAAAACCAAGTTTTATAATTTGTGAAATAGGTGATCATTGCAGTGAGAGTTAAATGACATTGTTTTTTAATAACCTTTATCAATGGCGTGTTTGAAAAAACGTTTGATATTCAACTTAGTGCGGAAATCGTAAAATTGGGAATAAATACATATTTCGTTCCCGTACATGAGAAATTAAAAACTCGCTAGGAAGCCTGCTAAAACCTTCTCTAACTGAATTCTTTCCCAAAAAGAATGTGACGTAATTCACTTTGCTCAGCATACTGGGCACATATTCGTTATTAATTTCTTTAATTTTCTATTACTGAAAGTGAACCGTTTCTATTTTCAAGAACAGGTTTGCATTGATAGAAATTTAATCAAGTTATATACAGAAATCAAAGAGATATATGACAGCAGTGAGTAATACCGGTCATATTTTTGCAATTAGTAGATTATTACTCCCTTTTCGAACCAACACATTTTCTAATTCATAAATAGTTTTTTCCAGACTTTCCTTCTTTCTTTAGAACTCTAACTACAAGTAAACTTTTGTTATATTGTGATAGGAGATCGGCTTCTGTTCTGATTGATCAATTCTTGGTAGTTCCTGTTCTAATCCTTCACCCTTAGGTAAATTACTCTCACCAACAGTCATGGCTATCTCTGATCCAGCCATCACTGAGGAAACTGCCGTCTCATTCAACTCCTTTTTCTCATCAGCCGGAACGACTGCGGGTACTCGGCAAAATAAAAGTGCTACTATTATTCCCAAACCACTGAGTCCAATTCCGGCGTATAGTGCACTTCGATATCCTCTTAACACGTCACGTCCACTTTTATTTATTTGGCTCTCCACCGTTCCTGCAATGCCCAGACCCAACGATACAGATAGATTAATCACTGCGTTAATCATACTCGCGGCTACACCCTGCTGAGATAACGGCATTGAATTACTCACGATGAGGGATGCTGCCGGAAAACTTATGTCCATGCCGAATGGAGTGAGAATCAGGGCAACAAATGTCTGTGCCCAGTAGAAGGACGTTCACGAATCACATAACTTATACTTTAGAAAAGCGTGATCGCCGAGTTGGTTTCAATGAAACATTAATGCCATTTACAAACGATAATGAAATTATTTGAAAAACAATTGTACATTTATACACATTCATATAATGAATTATTGTGTTTCTATTGGCGTTCTTTTTATTTTAAATGGCTAAATACTATAACACTAGGAAATTCACCATAACAGCACAGGAATATCTGACACCATACTTAGCCAACTGATGTATGCAAAACACTATCAACAACGTGTAACGTGGTTGTTACTGCTCCCTATGGATCATTATGAACTTCAAAAGGAACAGGTGCACGCAACACACGATTCTTGTTCTGTCATCTCACTTGTGTTATTTGTCGATGTAATAAGGCCAATGAGTGGATTTTGCTCACTATCGCAAGAATTTTGCATACTTCTGTTTTCGTCGGTTTTAGAAAGGATAGTGGATGAAACTGGAACGACAATAGGGTAGATTGCCAAATTCTCTTATGCTTTTTAAACTACTTTTTTTGTAACTATCATTTGTTTGTTATATTCGATTTAAACAGCGCTTTATCATGCAGGCACGAGAATTTTAGAGAGTAGGAGATTATTACTGAGCGGTTGATCATTTGATTTCTGAACGTTCCATAGGTTTGATCGACAGGCGCTGTGGCTACAAGAATATTGCCGACACAGAAGAAAACCATCGAAGCCATGAGTAAATAGTGCCCCGCGACTCGGTGATACAATTGAGAAACGAGAAGTGTGGCTGTGAGACCAGCGGGGATGATCGGGAAAAACATGGCCGCAACTAACAAGGGAGACGTATTCCGAAGAACTTCGATAACTTGAATCAAATAAAAAATCCAAATACCGAAACTTGACCAACCAAGGCCAATGCATAGTATGACACCAGGAAAACCGGATACAGACCAAATAGATGGCGGCATAATGGGCTCATCGACTTTCATTTCAATAAAAATAAATGCGCCTATGATGAGAAAACCAACGATTAGTAGAACGAAGACATACGGTTTATCCCAACCAACAACCGGTCCTTGGTTCCAGCTATAAATGATAAGAACGAGACCGGCAACGCTTGTCACGGCACCGGGAATATCTATTTTACCCATCGGATGAACGGCAAATGACACTTCGGCAGGAATGACAAAATAAGCCATTATGGCAAGAGTGATGCAAACGATAGCTACTGTCCACTGACTCCATGGCCACCAAGAAAATTGTGCGAATATACTTGAAAATAAAGCACCTATGAAAAAACCAGCCGGAGCTGTTGCCCCGAACAGTGAAAAAACAAGTGATTTTCGTCGACCCGCGGAATATGTTCGGGCCAGGAGAGCAATGCCATTCGGTAAAACTGTGGCTGGTCCGATTCCCTGCAATGCTCGCATTATATCAAAATAAATATCGTTTCGAATGTAACCGGCCATACCCGTCAATAGACTAAAAATACCGAACCAAATGAAACCGAGTATAAACAACAGTTTATGTCCGAATACATCACCGAACCGTCCAGTGATCAAAATAAAAATGCCGACGGTGAGTGAATAAGCAGCACATGTCCAGGGTAGAAGAGTATTGTCGGTGATCTTGAGAGCTGGACCGATGATTGGAAGTGGAACGAGAACGTTGCCCAGTGTTGCGTGAGTGAGTAGGTGAGCACAACAGATAATTGTCACGAACAAAAATTCGTGGAAAAAATTACGTAGACAAGTCGGACGTGCATCGACAGCCATTCGTCAATCTATAATCGTAATATCTCAACTGAGACAAAAAAACCTACTTAGACCTTGGTCGCAAAACTCTTGATTCAGACATAAGCACTGGCGATGACGTCGAGAGCAATGAATAAGAACTGATTTTGTTATTGCGTTTTTGGATACATGCGATTACTTGACAGTAATTTAATATACGGTAATATTTGATCATGTAATGTGGGAATAATTTCTCGGATAGTCAGTAGAGATTTCATTTCATTCACTACGGAAATAGACCTTAGTACACTGCACTTTTGCACGTTTCAACGTACGTTTTGAAAGTGTATCTTAGTTGAGAAATTCGAGAAGCCCATATTCAATAAAATGTATCTCAGTTGAGAAACGAATATTTCCGCAGGAATATCGGGTTCTCAACTGAGATACTTGATTTAAATATGGATTGTACCTCAGCTGAATCCAAACCTCTATCCTATCATGCTTACTAAATAAATTTTATTGTTATGAGCAAGTGTACATCGCAAGTAAACAGCAAGAAAGAAAGAATATTATTTTTGTTCTAGTATATTTCCTTTAATATGCACTACCAAGTGAATTGACATATACACCTGTGAGTCCTTAAGGACATATGCGAACAAAAAAGCCTCATACAGATATTTTTTCACTTGATTTACGTGCGCCCCGAAATCTACACTGCGCATTCTCACTGTATCGGATGAATTATGACGTTACACTGCCCTATCGTTATTATGACGAAGGCACTTTCGTTATGCATTTAAAAATTTTACTGCATGAAGCCAACTTTTATCACATTCACCGTAACACGGTGTTGTTCGATTATCGGCAGCACTGACTCAGCAAGAGCTGCACCTAGTTTTTACCATACTGCAGTACTAGCTGAGTGAACACTTACAGCGTAAGTTCATTAGTTTTGAGCAGTAAATCTTTATACTTTTAAAGTGTCAGTAGTACTCACGAGGGAAGTACCCCAACTGATAAATCGCTTTTTCAACGAAACCGAGTGGACTATAGGTAGTCGACGATGCTGATTCCGAATATCACCATGAATGCTGCTGCTAGGCCTTCAAAGACCGATCTTCT